AGAATTCTATACGTGGTTTCTAAACTGGTTTCTTGGCTCAGTTGTCAGAGGCGCTCAACCAACCGGCATATGTAGGCACTGGTTCTATACTCGTCGAAGCCTTCTTCTGCAATGACGTTCGATTCACTTCAGTTAACCAGCCGTAAAGAACACATCTTTCCTTTCCATGTGAGAGATACTAGGCTTCCATGTATTCCGGGTTTATAGCCCTGAATTGAAAGAAATTTTTGGTAGAGTATGCTCGGCAAAGAGATTGATTTCTTACAGGTCACTAAATTCAAAGGCTCACCAAAGATGAGTTTTTAAAGCATTTTCTCTTTGTTTAGCCGCTTCATCCGATTGTGAGAATCCTCCATTAGACATATCTATCGTGATCGATCAAACAAAGAGCGTAGGAGCGGACAACTATGACGCCATGTTGGATTCGGTCATGGCACTCATTTCGCAGTATGATGTCGGTGAAGACAAGACACACTTCTCCATCGTAACTTATGCCAAAGATGCACAAGTTCGTGTCAGCTTTGACGACCCAAAATATCAAAATAAAGCGGCCCTTCGTGCAGTCATTGAAGAGATGAAGGAGAAAGACAAGTTGGGGAACCCGACGAGGACTGACAACGCTTTGAAAGTGGTCGGCGAGGACGTGTTCGACGAAAAGAATGGAGATCGACCGGAATCACCAAACGTCATGATCATCTTCACTGACGGAGGAACGCATAAGAGTTCCGAACCCTACAGTACCGTGCTACCAACTCTTGAGGTGAGACCATAAAACAGACAGTCTAAATCTCATCAGTTCGGGGAAATAAAAGAAACACTACATCGACTCAAATGCAAATAATGACGAACGGCGTTGGAGAGCAGCCCACTGAATTTTTTTTGTTTACAGTGCCCCAAATCAATTTAAAATTATTTTTAAAGAAAGAGTTATAGAATATTCATTTAATTTTTATTGTGTTACTTTTTCTAATACTTGTTCATTTCTTGCTTTTGCAAGCGCTATGGCAAGGTCAAAATATCATGTCGTAGCTTCTCAATAGCTAAAAGGTAGTGATTTATCAACTGCCGATTGTTTACGTCTCTCCGATAAGATAGCTTGGGACTTTCTTTGTTAATCGTTTTCATCAACATTAACAAATGGTAAAATGACTTGTAGGTGAGAAAACAGCTGAAAAATTGTTCTTTTCGGGCTAAAAGCAATTTACACGTGTAACTGGTCTAAAAAAGAAAAAATAAAACCTCAGCGAGCACTAAAGCCTTGCATTCCAAGTACTGGGTGGGTGCTTTCATCAACTAAGCAACGAGGCCACATCATGCTGGATGTAAGGCAAATTTAGTTGGATTCTTGTTCCCCATGAAAAAAGAAACTTGGTCACGTTATTGTAGACGCCGTTCGATGGAAAGGCTTAAGCTGCAGTTTATCATTTAAGATCAACTCATTGCTGGTCAGAATTTTTCACTTTGCAGATGCTATGGCAAGCGCTATCGTGCTTCTTATTTCTGTCCCACGTCAATTTGTCACCTTGTAATCACACATATGACGGCTAAAAAGCAACTAATATAAAGAGAGGCGAAAAATAAGGCTAATAAATTGCAATCTCACTACGCAGGAAAAAGGAGTACAGCGAGTGGCTGTGGGGATTGGTAAAGAAATTAAGCAGGCAGAGCTTATAACTATTGCTGGAGATGAGAATCGAGTCGTTAATGCCAAAAATTTCGAAGACTTGAACAACCAGTTGGACGATATTCGCGAAGCTACTTGTAGTAAGTAACATCTTCCTTCAATTAAAGAAAGATTAGTTGACTTTGATTCTTCGTTTTCTGTCTGCTTTTACTGCTACATCCTATATATTGACGAAAAGACGAATTGTGATGTTGAGGATGTAGTTTTTGGAGACATCACGCCACCGAGACACTATTCAGTTTCCTAGGGAAAGTGGCGACAACTAAATGGTATTTACTAGATTTTTTGCCAAAGGACTATCCTATGATATTTCAGTAAAGGTTAAGTTTGTCTTCGAGCCCAATGGCCCACAATGGCCAGCCGGAGCTTGTCCCGGTTTGCTCGGTATGACATCACTTGGAGTGACCCAATCCCTCCTTGGATGGCATTCTAGTTCATCTTAGGGTTACCTCCA